TTAGTTAACTAATATTATATGTTAATTAAAAACACAAAAGTTGGTTCTAATTCGTTTGAGTTAAAAATTTGAAGTGATAGAAAGTATTCGAAAACAATTATATAATTTCAGCATGACCAAATATTAAACGTTTCAATGGTCAAAGCACTACAAGAGGAAGAACAAAACCAAAATGTTACTTGTCAGGTTTTTTCTTTTCCAGCTGCATTTCGTACTCATTTTACAAAAATGAATTACTGTTAGGTTTTAATCTTTGAATGCGTAATTTATACAATTAACAAAATTAAAAGAATAATGTTGAATTGTAAAAAGTATAAATGCTTTAAAATGTTTAAATTTTTAGCAATAATCATTCGTGTACTACGCTTTGAATTTTTTATCCTGCACAATATTTCAGAATAGAAAAGCACAAAAATATAAAAGAATAGTTTAAATTATTGTAACATTCTCATAGTAATTACAGGAAAATGCAAGTTTTAGCAATCATATACAACTAATTAAACGTATACAACATGGACTACAGCATTACCAGCAGCTTGTTGATGCAGAAAAGCAATTTAGATGTAAAAAATGTGCAGAATCGTTTTCGCATTTTAACTTTCTGAAAAGACACAAAAAAATTCATGCAAATCACAAACCTTATGAGTGTAGTAAATGTAACAAATTATTCCGTTATGTTTCTGAATTAAAAATGCACAAAAAAACTCACATTGATAATAACATTCATCAATGTTTGCAAGATGAAAGATGCCAAAATGAAATTTGTCATTTCAAAAAATGTACAAAAGAAAACATCAAATTGATAAAGCAACGAAATTTTGCAGGAAAAAGAAACAATTCACTAGTTTATTTTAAGGTCGAGAAGAAGCAAACACTTAACCTTTGAATAATTGATTCGTTACTGTTTTCTTCTGTACCATCTCACAGATTCTAGTACTAATTATTCTTGTTGTTTTTGTAGTAATAAAAATATAAAAGTTGACATTGTTACGCACATTATTCATTTCTGATGTATGAAAATACTATGCAAATAGAATGACAAAAGCATGAGTTGTTTTCTGAAAAATTTTTAACCAATAAAAATAAATTAATTCAAGTAAATAGCGTGCATATTCTTTTCTACTTCCAAAAGTAAACAAAGTTCAGAATGCTATTTTTACTTTCAAAGTTTAACACACTTCCAATTATGCATATCTTTCATTTTTATCTTCACAATAATAATAATAATAATAATACTTTGTAAAATTTTTACTTGTTGTAATTGGTTGAATTGTCAATGTTATTTTCCTAATTTCAAAAAAAAATTAAAAATTCGTGTTAATAATTTTAATAATTATTTACCAATTTTAAACAAACTAATAAAGATGATATACTGAATTGTGAATATCTTTTCACCTCGCCTCGCTTCACTGATTACTTATTCGCTGATTAATTAAACGTTACCAGCAATAAGACAACAGTCTAGTTGTAGTGCAGAAAAGACATTTCTGATAAGCTTAATTGAAACAAATTGCAGAAATCGTTTCGATAGATCACTAATTTTTTCAGACCAATGAAAAGTGAAAAGAAACAAACAAGCAAGCAAGCAGTCAGAGTTTCTGTATTCTCAGTCTAGCGGTCGTATTTACTACCGTTTGGTTGCATGCTACTTAGTCGTTGCATTGATCTGGATATGGAGCGGTTGGTTGGTTGGTTGGCTCTGGGGCTTGGTTGAGTGTGTGTTGTTTGAGTGAGCTTAGGTCCATTCTGACTTGCTTGGTGTGTTCAGTATTGTTGCATTTAATTTTATTTAGTTGAATTAGTGGGGAAATTTGGCTCATTTTATTTTAGTTACATCAAAGCATTGAAATTTCGTATTAAATTTTACAATGTTTACTATAATAAATTGCAGTTTTGTTTTTGATTTCTTTGTCCAAATTTTACTATTACATTAACTTAAATTCACATTTACATATGTATTATTTCTTTTGCCATTACTTAATTTGGGGACATAATTGGGAATATACTTTGAGAACATTTGTTGTGTTTTTACACGCATATAAATGTTTTATTAGGCGTGTAAAGTAGAGTTTACATAATTATTTCTTGTGTTTTGGCCTTTTCGTGCTTGCAGGATAATTTTCTGATTTGGTATCTTCTCGCAAATTGTTAGAAGTCGTCTTGTAAACTTCTATTTAAAATTGATTTAATTTTTGGATTTAGGGTGGTTGTTTTGGACTGTAACATCGTGATGAAAGCATGCGTCCTTGATTCGCATGCATTTTTTTGGCAGAGAAGAGGTAACCGTCAACGCTTGAAAGGTGCGATATTGGTGGAATTTTGCACCTTTTTTTGGTAAGTGTTATACTTCGAATTCCATATTATGTTAATTTAGCTCTAAATAAATATTCGTTTGCTCTGTTCGAAATATAATCAGTGCAAATTTCTGTTTACTATAAATTAATAAAAAATAATTTATAGGCAGTTGCCTGCAGAGCTTCACATCGAAGCAAAGCATGGTTTTCCTGTTACCCATCTGATTTTTTCATCACCCTCATCACATACATGGGTGAATTGAAAATGAAGATGGGAAGGAAACACTTTATTTTTGGGGAATGGGTGTTCCCCATATTTTAGTGGAGAAGAGGGAACCGTCAACACATGAATGGAAATTTAAAAGAAAAATTTTTAACATATTTTTAAAATAAGTAAGTTTTTGCATTTTGAATCTCTTGACATTTTTGATAATTTCAGTGGCTTGACAAACACTCATTTGTCTTGTGGTCCGTATGAATCTAGAGAATAAAATTTGAAATATTTTGTATGAAATATGAATGGACTGTTTGTTGTTTAAAGTTGTTTTATATGAAAAATCTATATTTGTATTAAATGCATCGAAATTTTCAGAATTTTTAAAATTTATCATTTTTGCGGAGCTATGCTTTGGCCACCCGAAGAAAGAAATTGAGCTTGTTTGCTCGCGACGCAGTTGCATGGAACGCGATGCAAACAAGATGGTTGAAATGCATCGCTATTTTGGAAGCTCTGCGTTAAATTTTTAATTTTCTGTAAATATTTGTATATATATGTTCTTGTTATTAACTTTAAATGTACTTTGTAAATAATTTATTTAAACAGTAATTGTAAATATTGTTGCTATTGTTGCCTGTTATTGTATTAAAAAATTTTGGTATATTAACCACAATAAAAAGTAAATATTTCGTTCAATCCAATCGCACTTTAGTAAGTTCATAATCGCCGGTATAAGCTTGAAGTCGTCATCCTTCAGTGCATGCATTTTCCCTATAAAGTAAATCTCGCATATTACCAGCAAGCAAATTTTCAGAGTTAATTTCTGTAAACCTTTTTGCCATTTGACTGAGCATCAGTTTCTGGTTTATGAAAGGATAACTGAGTTGTATTTTCGCGAATCTAAGCTTTATTGTCCAAGAAACGATTGTAATCTATCAGGAGTATCGTTTTTTGCTGAAAGGTACCAGGAAGCATTATGCTAGTCGTGGGTGTAGGGTGTTTCCAATTTGTTGCCGGCAATTGTTTAATTGCTTATTTTTTGCAAATATGATGAGAATTTTGGAAGCAAAACAAAGATAGCTTATTCTTTGCAAATCTACTCACAGCTAAAGATTTTATAAAAGCATGCAAATTAGATTGCACGCAAGATATCCACTTTACGCTTTATGTATCACACTTGGATATTGTGGTCTTTTCTAAATAATTGATGCTCAGTAAAGAAGTCGAATGTGATATCAAAAAGGATACGTGCTGAATGTTTTTTACAATACAGAAGTTAGTGGTCATACGGAAGAGTGAAACGTTTACTTGTGGTTATATAATTTAAATATTATTATTTCAGGAATGATCTAGTTCAGCGTTCAAGTTATAGTAGGAAAATGTATTGTAATAATATGTTTTACTGTTTCTGCATATCATATACTACTGAAAAAAGGCAGTTATGAGCTGAAATGAAGGAACTGATAAGACATTAATAAATTTGGAACAGTACCTCACCACGTTCAGCTGTTACAATAATATGTGTAGTGTTGAGCTTACTCACATCACTACGACAGTTATCGAGAAGAATTTCAATCTTAAAATTTAGTTTTCTTATTCTGTAAAGAATATCTCTTACTCTTTCTGTATATCATCTTTCTTGATTCAATGATATATAAAACTATAAAGGTTTTTTCACTATATAAAAATTCAAAAGTTTCTGAAATGAAACTGAATTCCTTAAATGCATAATCATACTCTTTTAAATATGACTGAATGAAGTAAGATCTGTCTCGCAATGGAATGGTAAGATTTTCTTGAGGTTAAAAAAATTTTCAGTCTTGATCTAATCTACAGAAGGAAGATTTATATTGTAAAGTTGGAAGCTTTCAAGCAGTACTGAATTTTCTAGAATACAACTTTTCGAGTATTTAAGATTTATTTATCTTGAAATATTGTGATAGATTATGTTTTACAATGATTATCATATTGTAAAATGATATTTCTGTTATTTGATAATGATGACTAAAATTATCAATCTTTAAATATGATTTGTCGGACAGAATTTCTTCTCACTGCTAATTTCATGCTTGTTGCAGACTCAAAAGCATATCATCACATGCTGTTTATTCAATACTTTGTTACTTAACGAATCAAAGCAAAATAAGTTATTATCGTCAAGAAGTAGTAAATTCTATTGGTTTCACTGACTTTTTTCCTCTAAAACTTTAAAATTATCACTTTGTGGATGGTAAGACGTCACTTCTCTTCTTGATGTTGTGCATATCTCTTGATCAGGCCTATACATTCATATTTTGAGTGATATTATTTGAATACACATTGTTCTATAACAAAAGTTTTTTCACTATATAAAAATTCAAGACTTTCTCAAATGAAACTGAATTCTTTAAATGCATAATTATACTTTTTTAAATGGAATAAGCTGAACTATTAAAAATAAAAATTATTGAAAATAAATAAATTTTTGAATTTGAAACGAATAAGTATTATTGTAAATGCGTAATTATAAAATTATTTGATATGGAGATTAAAATTGATGATAAAAATGCTTTTTAAGTGTGAATTGAATAAATTGTATAAAATGAATAGATCAAAAAAATTCAGAAATATAAAAAATATCATTTAAAAAAGGCTTATTTTTAAGTTAAGTTTAAAATCAAGTTCATCTCAGCTAAAACTTTTTTGAGATTTAAAAATGCGTATTTTTGAGTTCTGAAAATAAAATTGATGCATACATCTAACTTAAATATATTTTAGCTTTTTTTTTGGTCAAAAACAAGACGGAAAGTTTTATTAGCACTACCCAAAAGTTTTCCCCTATGTAATCTGTTAAAAATGCTTCAGATATGCTTCTGAGTTGTTTTTTTTTTTTGAGATGAAGATGAATTATGCTATATTTAGATGTGACCGCACTACTTTGACTTAATCTCCGCCCAAAATCCCGGAGATATCCCAAAGGATTAGCCTGCGCAAAAGTTCGAGAATATCCATCATTTATGGTTTATATCGCATGCTATCTTTACCAATTTATTTAGCAGTACTAAAATTTTGTCCTTTGATTTACTGCAAAATTTCAATTTTTATTATTCTAGTAAATGCTATTGCGAATTTTTTTCTTTATTATCAAAATGTAATTTTGTTTATTTTTTAATATTTACAAATTAATATTTATT